AATTAGCTTTGGAGTATGGTCAGTGCGAAAACTGCATGGCCAAGCCGAGAGCACGCACAGAGTCGTCTCGACTGCACAAGGACGTCAATCACGGGCCACTTACGTCCATGTATGCCTGGTTGCATATATGCATATATACATATATACATAGAAAAAAGGATAAATCTATATATAAACACGTTTATATATATATATACATGGTAACAATACATGGTAACACCCCCCCCGAAGAACTACCTACCCTCGTTTTGTATCGTAAATACCGTGCCAAACCAGCTTTTCCGGAAAGTCTGGATTCAGTATCTCTCAAAGACTACCGAAATCAAACTCACATTTCAAGAGAACGTATCAGTCAGCTCGTTCAAGTTCGACGTTTCGACGTGAGCACACGCTTAGCAGCAACACTGTGCTCTTCCTCCCAAAACTATTTTTTCCTAGGGAAAACCAAAAAAAAACATCTTTTGGGAGACTATGTGGTCAGACATTTTCCCTAGGAAAAAGATGGTTTTTGATGGAAAAACCAACTTTTTCCTAGGAAAAAGGATGGTTTCTGGTGGAAAAACCAACCTTTTCCTAGGGAAAAAATTGTTTTGGTGTGAAAAACAAACTTTTCCTGGGGAAAAGATGGTTTTGGTGTGAAAAGCTAACTTTTCCTAAGGAAACACCGAAAAAAAAAACACCATTTTTTGGAAACTATACGGCCGGACTCCAACAAGATTGTGTTTTTGGTTTTCCCTAGCAAAAAGTTGGTTGTTCACACCAAAACCATCTTTGTCCTCGGGAAAAAGTTTGTTTTTCACTCCAAAACCATCAATTTTTCACCCCCAAAACCATTTTTCCTAGGGAAAAGTTTGTTTTGCACACCAAAACCATTTTTTCCTAGGGAAAAAGATGGCTTTTCCAACAAAAACCATTTTTTCATAAGGGAATACCAAAAAAACAATCTTTTTGGAGTTCGGCCGTACAATTTCCCGAAAAATGTTTTTTTTGTTTTTTTTTGTTTTCCCTAAAAAAAATTGGTTTTCCCCTCCAAAACCATCGTTTTCCTAGGAAATAATTGGTTTTTCACGTCACAGCCATATTTTTCCTAGGAAAAAGTTTGTTTTTCACTCCAAAACCACGGTTTTCTAGCATTTGTTTGCGCGCGTTACGAACAAGTGTTGCCTTTAAGCTTAGAGTATTCTTATTACTGGGATGCGATTCCGCCAACATTAATGCTTTACAATATATCGGGTAGTAACCAAAACAATATTCGGGTCAACTTTGGGGTCGATAGGGAGCTGGTTATCACAGCTACCGCTTGATGTCTTGTAGCTGACTGAAGTTGTAGATTAAATATTAAATATCGGGGTCAGATTCTGTGTGGTACTAAGCCTACTATGGATGGCCTTAGGGCTGCTGTCAGGGCGAATATTACGGTCACCATTGACATAACGGCGAATGACAAGGATATGGTTAAGGTTGATGTTGTTTGGAAGCAGGAGTCAGCTAATGATCTTCGTCACTATGTACAGGTTTAACCTGATTCTTTACATTTATGTGCATATAGACACATAAATGTACATACCGCAAACGGGCAAGTCTGACAGCAAGTCTGACAGTGAGAAAGGGGGCGCCATGTACTAATATGTTGAGATAAACAAACAAATGCTGGTATAACCCCTAAAAATTCGAAGGGCCATCCTTTGGGGAACACCAGGGCGAAGACAGCAAGGATCGCGGTTCTTAATGGAATCCGTTTCGCGTAGTTTAATATTAGGATGAATATGACGGCAACCGTTGAAGCAAATGTCTGGAGTATTTAGCTTACATGTATTAATATTAACAGTAACTAGAAATGGGGATGCCATGGCTTCTAACTTCGGAGACTTGAATGGGAACCCACAACTACATCTGCATGCACTAACTTGTTGATGAGGCCAATGGCCATTATGGGGGTTGCAGTTGAAAGAAGTATCCGGCACAAGGAACAGCTTATGGGCAATATTAAGTTTGCGAGTAAGGTCCGTCTTGGGGGGACGGCAATATCATTACTATCAGCGGACCAGTCTAGCTGATGTATGTGATTGTATTAACCTTGTATTAACCAACAGCTCGGCATGAGAGTTGATATGGGGATGTATACATAATGGGGTTACAAGTCGACATAACATGTTAATCCATACGAACTAAGACGTGCACCATATGAGTGAACATGAAGTGGAAGACTACTGTCACCATTGGCGCCCATGTAAGGTCTAATGGCAGGGATAGTCTTGGGATATTGTTGCTTAGGAATAGGAGTCAGTCAATGCTCACGGTCATTCATACGTATTGCTGGGGCTTGGATCTGAAACCGTAGTGAAGGCTACGTTGGGAGCTAATGCTCGTGCCCTTATTGAGCTTCGGGTATTCCGACAGACAGGACTTTCATCATTGGGAAATCATATGTCAGAGTATCTGTGAGAAGGGTCGCAACAATTGAGAATGAAGGCGGCTGCCGATATGCATATGCTGTCCCCTCCGAACTTCAAAATCTAACACTAAGCCTGGATCATACAATAGAAGCCCGAACCTACGAGGATCGCTGGCATTATCGCGGCACCTCCGCGGTAGTTCTTCGGGGGGGGGGGTGAGCTATATGGTCAGCATATATATATATATATATATATATATGCTCACCCCCCCCCCGCAAGATCTACGCTTTCGTGGTTCTTGGGGCATGGGGAGCACGAAACACTGCTATGCTCAAAAAATTCCAAAATTTCTAACCCTGAAACTCACGAAACACTGTGTTGCTCAAAAATTCCAAAAATTCCAAAATGCTGGCATCTATGGCCAGGACGGGGGCAGATTCCTTAAATTAAAAGTTTGGAATTTTTTGAGCATAGCAGTGTTTCGTGAGCTTTGAGGCAATGAAAAATTAATTTTTTTTGAGCATTACAGTGTTTTGTGAGTTTTAAACCACGAAACACTGCTATGCTCAAAAAATTCCAAAATTTCTAACCCTGAAACTCACGAAACACTGTAATGCTCAAAAATTCCAAAAATTCCAAAATTCTGGCATCTATGGCCAGGACGGGGGCAGATTCCTTGTTTGGAATTTTTTGAGCATAGCAGTGTTTCGTGAGCTTTGAAGCAATGAAAAATGTTTTTTTTGAGCATTACAGTGTTTTGTGAGTTTTCAACCACGAAACACTGCTATGCTCAGAAAAATGAGCTTTGAGGCTGTGAAAAGTTTATTTTTTTTGAGCATTACAGTGTTTCGTGGTTTAAAACTCACAAAACACTGTAATGCTCAAAAAAAATCAACTTTTCCAAGCATTGAAACGCACGAAACACTGCTATGCTCAAAAAATTCCAAAGTTTTAAAGAATTTGCCACCGGCCTGGCCATAGATGCCAGAATTTTGGAATTTTTGGAACTTTTTGAGCATTACAGTGTTTCGTGAGTTTCAGGGTTAGAAATTTTGGAATTTTTTGAGCATAGCAGTGTTTCGTGGTTTAAAACTCACAAAACACTGTAATGCTCAAAAAATGTCAACTTTTGACAGACTCAAGGCTCACTTTTTTTGAGCATAGCAGTGTTTCGTGGTCTAAAACGCACAAAACACAGTAATGCTCAAAAAAATCAATTTTTCACAGCCTCAAAGCCCTTTTTTTTTGAGCATAGCAGTGTTTCGTGGTTTAAAACTCACAAAACGCTGTAATGCTCAAAAAAAATCAACTTTTCATTGCTTCAAAGCTCACGAAACACTGCTATTCTCAAAAAATTCCAAACTTTTAAGGAATCTGCCCCCGTCCTGGCCATAGATGCCAGAATTTTAGAATTTTTGGAATTTTTTTTTATTACAGTGTTTTGTGAGTTTCAAGGTTGGAAATTTTGGAATTTTTTGAGCATTACAGTGTTTTCTGTTGTCCAGGACAGGTTATACTGCATCACAAGATAATTGGGTGCTTGCAACCGTTGTCAAGGACTGGAAGTACTGTTTTATGTGCCTTCTGGAACAGCAACGGTTTTCATTACTCTTGTTTGATAAGTATGAACAGTCCTGCTTCATGTTTGGAAGGTTGCAAGAGCTCTCTTACTTTTTGCTGCAGACGAGCTTTCTTGTGCGCCCGCATATGCACATGAACCTTTCAACTCCAGGGGAGCTTTCCCATTTCTTATGAGCCAAAGAACAACTATTGGAGTATTGCCTCAAAAATAAACGCGCCCGTATATTCGGCTTCCTTCATGTGTAATGGACAGGACATGAAAGGAGCTCTCTGTATTTCGTAACTCATAAATCAAACGCTAGAGCGATTGGGCCGCATCAGAATCGGACGCTTCACGAGCAGCGGGAAAGAGATGGCCCACGCACCAAGACGTCTTCGTAAGAGAGACAATAGTATTTGTATTATTACAGGAATGTTGGTAAATAACACACCTTAAAATGCAAAAAAACGATGTTTTTTAGTATTACATGAACAAAACTAGCACGTCCTCCAGCATTTCAGCTTCTCCAACACATAAACTACCATAAATCCGCAGCCGAGATTCGGCGCCAGATTTTTACACATATCAAACCCGCGCCTTGCAGCAGCACGGTTTGCATGCACATGAGGTAAAGCACGATTGTATCGGTATTTACGGTGTTTTCGGTATATATGAGTAGTCGACCAATGTAGAGAAGCAACCTGTGGGATCGTGTGGAAGAGGCGGGTGTAGATCTTGGGGGGGGGGGATAACCATATATATATATATATATAGCATCTGCCGATCAGGCGAAGAAACTGCTAGACCTTTTTCTCTCGCGATGACCCTCAGCGGACATTCGTCGTTTCAAGCCCGGATGGATCAGGCTTGGCCACCTACTGCGGAGCCCAGATGGAGGCGATGCAACGGGGGTACGATTGAAACGACTTCAGTTTAAGGTTTAGGGTTAAGTTTAGGGACAAGAAACTTATCAGCAGTCTCGGGTTGCCTCTGCGGCTTTTCAGCAGCCATGCGAGCGAAATGCCCATGGACCGGCTGCTTGCTCACACCGTGAAGGAATGCATGAATGGACCATTGGAGGCCACTTCCATAACCTGCGGAGCATCGAAGTCGCCTGCGAGCGAAGGCATGCAACCTCCCAAAATCCCACCCACTGCTCTTTCGGTGACCTGCAACAATCTCTGCTGCTTTGCCGTCCCTCGCCAGCTCGGCGGCAGTGCTGTGCAGTGCCTTGGCAGCAGCCCGTGTACCCGACCCGAGAAACCTCGGAACAGCCTCGACTGACGTGCTTGCCCTCTGTCCACGGACTCATCAAAAGGATGGCCTGCCCTCATTGACTCATCCCCCAAGCCTGCACGAACGCGTCGTATAATCGATGGGCGCCGGTCTTCTGTAGCTGCTGCGAATACCTCACATCAGCGTCCTGTCAGATGGCTCGAGCAGCTGCTGCGCATCACATCGAAGACTTCTATCATCAGTACCGTAGCTGCCACGTTTGTTGAAACGGCTGGCACCGACTGCCCTGTACATGCTGAGCGTCACAATAGGAGTTTGAACACATAAGACCGTGCAATTGGCAGCGTCCTTGAGGTCGGACACGAGTGAAGCCTGATTCCAAACCATGACCACGAAGTACAAAGCGAAGGCTATTAAAAACCGACTCGACGGCGGAAACGACATTGGATTCACCGCTGACAGTGCCTGCGGCAGGACGAGGATGCCCTGCAGCGGCGGTGCAGCAGGACTTGTTCTCATCTGTTATCTTCTGGAGGTGCATGGCTCCGTACATGATATGGTTATACATCGTTATGGTGGTCCCCACCCCATCCCATCCGATAAATGTGAGAATCAGCTGGAAAATCACTGTTCCAGCATCCTGTGTGACTCTCACACTGTCAATTGTACTTTGACGGAGTTGCCAGGCAGTTCTCCAGTCTCCAAGAGCATGCCACAAAGCTTAACGGGTCGCGGCCTGGTAGTCACCTCGCTGTGAAATCGCCGCCACAGACTCTGCCTGCAGTCGGAAGGCTGAACTTCCTATCTTTGCTCTTACAGTTCCAGATTTCTGCAGTCTGTAGGCGGCCCTTTAGGCCCCATAGGCCCCATAGGCCCCACTTTTGGCAGTCTAGCGCTTGCACAGCTGTGCAGAAGTTGTAAGCCCGATTCAGTGAGATCCGACGTAAAACTCTGGCGAACACAGCTCCCAGCGCACCTCTTTCGAACCCTTCGCTTGCGAGAGCTTCGCTGTCAGTAGAAACCTGTTCCAGCGGAGCACATGTTGGATTGCTTCAGATGAGGAGGTATCTGTGGGACAGCATGGAGGTGAGGCTCCTGGGACTGGGTCGCATCTGAAAGTCAAAAAATGCTCTGGGGTCCGGGCAGTTCTGGGCTAAGTTGTGTCTGATTTCAGTGCAGGCGCATGTCCAGTGAACAATGCCACGCCTCGCAGCAGGAGCGATCTTATCTTCGGTCGCCCCCTTGTTGAAGGAGACGGCGACAAAAAGGCCCGGGCCAATCTCAGCCTTAAAGGCTGGAAGGGCTTGGCGCTATTGGGTGCCCCCTGGGCCTGGCCACTGGAGCAGCTTCGTAGTTCAATAATGTTAATACGAATAATAACCAGAAAAATGAGAAAAAGAAGAAGAAGAATATGAATAGTAAACTAACAAGATAGAATAATAACCTTCAATAGTATAGTCATAACAAGGAGAAACCAGAGAAAAGTAGCAATCGGGCCGAGCTGCCCAGGTGTCGGTCTCCTCGTTCGTTTGGAGCTTTGCTCGGTTGCAGCGCTGGACCACCACGGCGATCGTGCCGCTGGCGCGGAAGGCCTTGGGGTTGAGGGGTTTGGGGTTTAGGGTTCAGCGTTTAGGGTTTAGGGCTGCAGGCAGAGGACATCGCGTTTGACAGTGAGGCCTTGCAGGGTTGCATTCCGGCTCCCGAAATTCAAGATGGTGCAGAGTCCGTGTGCATGCTGTGCGTCTCGTTGGACATTACTTGACAGCTCCTTCGAACTCTTGACGATTTCTACCCTCAACTCGCCCAAATCCCCCTGGATCCTGGACCCCAGTCAAAGCTGCGTAGAGGACCAGTTATCAGTCCCCTGCCTTGCCTGGTTCCCTGCATTTGTGGCTCGGGCCTGGTCCGAAACCTTCCGAGGCGGCGGATAGCCCGTGGCGGCGGGTTCGGTAGCCTGGTGCTCAGTCGCTGCGAGTCGCTAAGAGCCGCTGAGTCTAAGGGTCTAGGGAGGGAACTTGAACTACGTGGCACTCCGACTCGAAAGCGAGCCGACGCACACGAGGCTTCGCGCCTGTTCGTCGGCCCTCCGCTTGATGTCGCTTTGCATATCTGGCGGCAGGTCTCCGACATCGCACTCGGCATCCTGACGGTATACCCGTCTCCAAGTGTGGAGCTTGGGAACCTGCCCTACTCTTCCACATGACATGGCGGTTTTCGGGGGAGGGAAGTTGAACAAAGTTAAGCGACATGCAGTTCAGGCAAACTCTTCATCCACATAACGTGCCGGCCTCTGCGAAGGCCTTCATCCAAGCGTCACTCATCAGCAATATCTGCAACACCTGGTTCACTTCAAGTTAACACTCCTTGCGCATGGTCTGCGAATGATACACTTCCAACCTGGGGAGCAGCATTCAAAATCCGCACTGCTCCCGAACGTCGGGGGGCGCTCACTCCGCGGCCGAGAAGCTTCATGCACTCGATCGTGTAAAAAGGGCCTTGGCATCCATGTTTTCAGGAACAAAGCGACACTTGCACGCCACACTTGCGCACCTTTCTTTGCAAAGCTTACAAAGATATCTCCATGCCACGTTCTTCTCCTGCCAGACATGCATAATGCACCAAGCACTGTAAGACATTGCAGAAGGCTCTTCTATGCTGTGAGATGGAACGAGCAGACCTCCTCTTGAAACACACACATCGAAGTCTCCCAGGAAAATAGACGCTTGGCATTAGATTCTGCTCTCCTCCAGAGAGTCGAGAGCATCAAGCTCTTTCCGCAAGTGGACGCACGCCACTCGGAACTCCCGGAAAACCTCAAAAGAAGACAAAAGCCGTAGAAAGAGTCGTGCAGGTTGGGGACCGCATGTACATTGAAAGCACGGATAAAGGTCCATCTCAACTATGCCGCTGCTGGCCAATCAGACGCTGCAAGTATCCAAGGGCGTTGCCGTTTCGCAGTTGTTTGCGAAGGAGTACGTATTCTCCTTGGTGCTAGAATTGCAAGGGTGGACGTGCAGAGCATGAAGTACAGCCGCTTCTTGAAACTGCAAAGCCCTCTCCAAGCCAGATTGGTAGTTCTCTACGAACATAGAGAACTACCCACATGGTAGACACACCAACACCCTTTCAAGTTCTGATTAAGGATACTTCAGCCCACTGAGAAGCTCTCCGGCTGATGATGTGCCGCTCGGGAACTTTAGATGTCCACAACAATGACCCTACACTATGTCGCACAAGATTCGGGCCTTGAAAACACGCTTGCTCTAGTGCACGCCCTGTGTGCCTGTCCACTCGCAGAGTCCAAACTGCATCCTTTTGAAGCAGGAACTGGATTAGTGAGTGTCCAACCACACAAACGAGCACACTTTTTGGTCTGAGCCCAAGACGTCTGTCGTACAGGGTGCGTTCAGAACTAACACAAAAACTACGCTCGCATGAGGACATGTCAACACGGCGCTTCAAGACAGGGAAATTTCACACCCGTCTCATCTGCAGTGTGACGTCCGAATCATGCTCGAATTTGATCGCTTTGGATCAAACCTACTTCACCGGATTATACCGGGAGCTTGCGCAGTCAACCGAGCCGAGTGCGGCGACTCAAGGCTCTAGGCTGAGTTCTTCAATCGCGAAGCGGAGTGCTTTCGGTACTCTCGGTATTCTGTGCGGCTTGCGCGGGCACATCGAATACCTGAACGAGATTGCGATCAATGCTGTGATTGATCAAAAGCGGTTTCATACTCTTAGTGAGACAATCCGCAAGTTGTAAATGCGTCGGTATCCATCTCAACTCATCGCCACAGGGATGGTATAGGACGTGCGTTAGCTCGTCCTCTTCCCAAAGTCCTTGGCGAAGCCCGGACATCTCTATGGCAAGGCGTTTATCCTCGCAGGACTTTGGAATCGACGCTGTCAAGTGATCCGAAAGGGACCTGCAGTCCGTATACTGCAGGTGGAACATCGATCTCTTGGCGACTTCTTCCCAGTTCTGTGACCGGGGCAGTTTGCCGAGTACTTCGAGTACTGCTGCTCGAATGCGGTCTCCATGCTCTATGGCATGTTGCAACGAGTAAGCCTCACACTGCAGTGTGGCACGACAAACCCGTTTCATGGTGGACGAGGAGAACGAAATGAGATGCATCTCATGCGTTGGCGCGTTCTTGTCCACCGCCGACTGTGCGGAAGTGAGATAGTGAAAACGGCCTCTCTGCGACTTATGGTTCGCCTCTCCTGCAAAGGAGGCGTCGCAAAACGTGACGACCGCCAGCTCCCCTGTATTCCAGGGTAACTTAGCGCTGTACGTGATCGGCCTATCCGCATCTCCTAACGCCAGTGCTACTACGCGGTTTGCTTCACGGAGCGTATCCACCGTGGCTGTCGTAACACGCTGCTGCAGGGCATTCACCCTATAAGCAAGATCAGGTCTCGTGGCGCGGGCCACCCAAGCCAGCGATCCTATGACGGATCTCAGCGCTGTGCGCTGGCCATTCGAGACTGGAGTTGTGCCCTTTTCAGATTTATGTATATCGATCGGGCGAATTGCACGCGTGTTGTCCCTACAGTTTATACTGATGGTCCCATCGGCGCTTTGCACATACTCGCGTCCGCAGAAACGGAACTTCTCAGTCTCTATGCGACCGATCTTAAACTTATCCAGCAGATTCTGGATAGCCGGCTCGCCTTCGGCGGTAGCAGCCCACAGGAAATCATCCACGTGGGTGCACAAGCAAGCGCACAAACGACCACCTTCTCCTGTAATATAGTACAGGGCTGACAGAATTTGCGAGGCATTTAAGCCAAATTCTCGGCAACTCTCCTTTATACGGAGGTAAAGGTTCCGACCCGCGTCGGTGGTGCCGTACACGGGTACTCGGGCAATCATATACCCGGCTCGCTGAATCTCTGCATCGGGCACACCCTTAGGGTGTTTGGGAACCCGAAGAATGAGGAGGCGCTCAAGGGGTTTCCCTTGGAAGTATGCGTTCGTTATATCGGCTGCTTTGAGCCGCAGGGCCAACGAAACCGCCCATGAACACAGAAGGGCTATACCTTCCGGCTCGGCCGTGGGGCTATCTGCCCTGATATCCTCCTCATTCGAGATATGCTCGAAGTTTCCACATGCGACCAAGCGTGCTTTCCACTTGGGAGTGTATGCTGCTGTTCCCTTTAGGTGTTCATTCTTATCGGTAAGAACCCATTTGGTGGGGATACACACGTGGCCAGCCTTTGTAAGCTCCTTAAACTCCTTGTCTGTGCAAGGGACCACAGCGTTGAATTCAGTGTACTTCTGCCATTCAGTCTTCATGGCAGCATCCAGCCCCAGCTGTACCTCTACAGGGGCCTTATGGTAATCCAGGAGCGAGGCCATGTAGCCAATATCAACATTAGAGCCGAAGGCGTCTTCCCCATCAGGGGTGAGAGCAAAGGCCTTGGGTTCCGCCTCTCGACTATCCGAGGGCTCAACCGCTGGCACTGTCGTGCCAATCGCAGCTGTGTGCGATGCTGCTGCCAGTCCGTCGTCTTCCTCAGGAATGTAGTGACACGGATGGGCTTCTGGCAGTCCGTTAGCACGTATGTGCTCCGCAAGTTTCGAATGCTCGAGCCATATGTGCTGGGCGATATTTCGCCGGTGGCATCGCCGCCAACTGGCCTCCGAACACAACAGAAGTATTCGGTGAAAGTCATCGTGAGCCTCGCTAACTATTCTAGCGATCGTGCAGAGCCCTTGGTCTGTTTGCAGGTTGGCTTCAATCCCGCCCCGATTCCTGCTGCCTAACTCGGGGGCGTGACTGTACACAACCCCTTTTGCAAAGCATGTGGCAGAAAGCTCATCACAATTGTATTGTGGATGCCGAACGCTGTACGGGTGGCTTCTGCAATCTACGATTTCCTTAATCCCGTACTCGTGGATGCGCTCTAGGAACGTCTCGATGGGAAGATCGGAGTGACCCATGGTGTATATCCCATCGCCTTTCCTGCCAAAGGTGTTGGGCGCATCCCTATATATGGGGTAGCCTAGATCCGACAAAAGCTGTATGTCATCTTTAGACAACTTACCGAGGTCACTCACCGTGTATGCGGAGAGACTGTATCTTTCTCCTACAAACGGTGCGACCATGTGCACGTCCTTCGGGCGAAACTTAAGAACCTTGTTCTTAGTATCATGGACGGTGCCATACATTGTCGTGTTTTGAATACGCACGGGAGTTGTACCCGTGGCTTCTTCCACCCATAGGCCGCCTCCACGATACTCGCCCACACCTATAGTGTAGTTATACGAGCCAGGAGTGTTCGCTAGGTCTCTATGGGCCTCTGCGCCTCTGTTGGTAAGCTGAACGCTACTCCACTGTGGAAGATGGTGACCGGCTTGCATACTGTGATGCAAGAGGTAGTGGTTGAGGTACATGGCGAACGACGGTCTCTCGCGCGTTGGTCCAGAGACACCAACAAGACCACCGTGCCGATATACTCCCACCGCGAGGGCTATGCTCCCGGGATCTCCATCATCTAGGAGCGGGCGCGTGTACGCCTCGCGTCGGTCGCGGTCATAAGCGCGAAGGAGGGCCAGACACTCATCTGGAGAAAAACCCTGAGCATCTATCAGGCCTTTTGCCATGATCTCTACTTGATCAATCTCTTCCGCAACTAGTGCGTCATCACGGCCTCCTACTGGCGATCGCGACCGGGCGGTTTCGCCCGTCTTATCTCTGGCGGCTGGCGCGAAACCTTGCAGGGGTGGATGGCGCTGGCATCGGTGTGCCGGGCATCATCGCTGGCGTCGATGGTGCTGGCATAGGCACATCGTGCGCGACTGCCGGTGTAAGCGGGGCAGCTGCAGCCACTGGACGTGGCGTCGCTGGTGCTGTGACCGGATCCGCTACGCGCTCATCCTGGAACCTTTGTTCCGGCCCATGTACGATGGCTTCCGGAAGCACTGGTTCACCTGCCAAAACGCGGTGCGCTGCAACTTCGATTTCATCAGCTGGGCGCATCTTCCTAGCGTTCACAAGTACAGGGATATTCTCGTGTAATACCCAGTACGCATTCTCTGCCTCACGTCCTATGACGCGGCTAACCGTGGACCATACGACACCTGGGCTGCCAGGGACGTTGTCCCGACGGTAGATAACTAAATCACCAACCTTATAATCAGTGTCTAGAGGGGCTGCATTACGCTGTAACGCTTTGGCCACCTTGCGGGAAGTCTCTAAATGCACAAAGGCCTTTTTGGCTTCCTGCCGTGCTCTGTGCCGAATGTACCAAGGCTTTCGGATTCATCTAGCACGGAACCCGGTGTTCGAGGCTGCTTTCCCAACACGTGTTG